ATCCACTATAGCTTATATATGTTACCTTTTAGGAAGATTGTTGCAATGGCAAAATTCAAAGTTGGACATGGGGGGGGGGGGTTGTTCCTTTTTGAAATAGTTCTTAAATTTTGGGAAATGTTTTCGAGATTAATTTGCAGAGTCAAAATATCCTCGTGGAGATTCGGACCCTCTCCACCCTTTGGGCCTTTCGGACGGCCATGAAGACCTGGCTGTCCCAGCAAGCCTGGGGTTGAGTTCCCCCCCCCCACTCGAATTTGCTGTGTCTGTTGTGCTTTTAAGTTGTTCGTATTGTCTGTTTCTGTCTTACTTTTTGTAATTTCCCCTCCCTTGGCTTTTGTTCAGCCACCCTGAGTCCCTTCAGGGAATAGGGCGGCCTACAAATTGAATAAACTCCAAACTCAAAATATAATCCAAATGAGAAATGTAACACAGGATCTTTTTTCCTGATTAGTTAGTTACACCAGAACAAATGCTCAATAATTCATTAATATCTAACTATTGGGAAAATGTTTTATCAGTCTTTAATACTCTCAGGAAAGGAAAATAATAAAAGCCAAACAAATATTTTTAATAAAAATATTCAAAAATATTCAAAAAATGGTATTATCTTTGAAAAGCTGTATATAAAACTAAATTGAAAAATTGCTTTTTTGTTTCATTACTGTTTTGAAATGAGTATATATAAAGCAGAGAAAGATGACCTGTTTAATTTCCATTTTTCAGATATATGGGAATTGGGCTCTCAGCTCAAGGAGTGAACATGAACAGACTACCAGGTATGATGAAGAATAATTATTTTTAAAAAACCTTTATTGTTTTGATATTCAACTTTTCTTTTTTCTAGATGAGAATTATCTTTAATAAATGTTTAATGTAATCTAGGATTTAGAAATCCTAGACTGGTTTTTGTTGGATTTTATTCAAGCTATAGCTTGTCGTATCCTATCAAAACTTACTTCAACATTTCAAGAGTGATTTGCTGGAAGATAATTCTGGCCTTCCATGCAAACATCAATTAAACACCATTTAGCATAACAGAATTGAAAAAAGCATTCTATAACTCAGTATAAATTTCATTTAGAATAGGCATATAAATGGATGTTTCTGTCCAAAAAAGGAATATTCAACATGCTACCGTTATGTGAATAACTTAGCTCTGCTTAGGAAGTCTCAAAATGCAACATTTTGACCAAGAGAAGGAGTTGAGATGCTAACAGAGAATTTGAAAAGATAGTTTTTACACTATTCTGATGCTGATTTCACTTTCACAATATATTTGAGGAACACTTCCTAAACAGTTGGGCCCAAAAAAGTTATCAGTAACAGATATGTTTTTCTTACCTGTTATTTGAAACTCTGCTTGGAAATTAAGGCTTTGGATGAATTGATTGCTAATTATAAAATGCTTAAAGGCTTCTGTGTTGGCAATTGCCTGAGTTGCACTGTGGTTTTCATTTTCTGTATGCATGATGGTTTAAATTATCACCTTCTCCCCCCCCCCCCCAAAAAAAATTTAAATCCTTTTTTTCTTAATTGAAATATAGCCAGTTGTTAGATTAATTTATGTATGGCTGAATGAATGGCTGAGCAGACAATAGGATGTACATACTGTATTGGTCTTAGCCTCTTTTCTCCTCCTGACTTCTATACATTCTGCCTGAAAACTGAAGACACATTTTAGTCATCTGTTTTAATACTATTACTGATATATTTTGGAACTGTTTTATTAGGATTCATCACATGAAATTCTCTATGCCAGTTCAAGCAAACATGCTTATGTTCTCCTCCAACTGAATATGTGTAGAATGAGGAGAATAGAAGGTGGAACTATAGAATAGTACCATATCATTCAGTGGCTGAAAACAGCTAATGTAAACATTGAAGAAACATTTTGTCTAATTTGGATTTTAAGTGAGAATGAATTAAGATGATACTATTTTAAAATAGTGTTTTTAAAAATTTCTCAAACCATAGTCCAAAAATCTAGATTAGTTTTTATAGCCAGTCATTCTTCACTGCTAGTCAGTCTCAAGTTCAGTTATTTTTGTAAGAGTAGCGTAAATCCTAGATTTAGTTTTAAACTAGGAAAATTATCTTAAAATGCATTTTAAATAATAATTACATAACTAATATATTCTAAGATTGGTTGTGATTTTATCCCCAGCACTATGTATTCTCACTGTCCTTAAGCAAGAGGAAATGGGAGAGGAAAGGAAAAAATATTCCTGGTCTGAAAGGTTTAACAACAACTATATACACATATTTTGGTGTATGTCTCCTTGAAACCAGGAGAACTGTTCTTGAATAAATCATTATATTTATAAACTTCTTTAAGTGCATTTATTTACATTTCTAAAAATTGTAGTGGAAAGGAAAATGAGAAGGGAAAAAATAATTTCATTAATTAATTTCATTACTTTGAATCAGATTTTAATCACTTAAAATCACTTGTTCTTATACAAAATTCAGCAAATTATTGATGTGAATGCAGAATGCCAAGAGTAACATATAACTTTCCATACATCATCTGTTTTTTATGTTTGTCTAGCCTCAGATGTAGCGCACAATTTCATGTTGTAATGACAGAACCAGGTTCATTTTCAAAGTCAGTTTACTGGAGATTTCTAAACTCTGTTAATTTATTTGTATAAGGCTGATACAGCTAAATAGTACAGGAATGTGTGAGAAAATTTCATCCTAACAGCATGGTGGACAGGCCAATTACAATCTTGATAGAACTGACACTAGAGAAGATAACTTGGGAAGAGAAGAAGGGGAGAATACTGTTTCCTAGGTAGAAAGAGAACATTTCAGTACCTCTTCTGCTGCTTTCAAATCTTGCATTGAACAAGAACTTCACAGTCAATTTTTACATGCCAAACCTGAATCAGAGGACAAATTATTTAATGAATGGATGGCAACTATAATTAAGGCAACCTTTGTGTAACACCATCGTGTGCACCAATTAAGGCCTTTCCTGGAGAACTTGCTCATAGTCACTCATGCCTGGTCACCTTTAATTTGGACTATTGCAATATGCTTTTCATGGGGCTGTCACTGAAAATTACTCCAAAGCTTCAACTGGTTGAAAATGCAGCACTTTTAAAGTGATGGGAGTCTTTAACTTTTCCCGTTTAACACCTCTAAGGCAAGAGCTTCACTGACTACCAGTTTTCTTCTGGGTGTAACTTGAGTGCTGGTTGTTACCTTAGAGCTCTGTATGGCTTAGGTACTGATATTTATGGGATCATCTTCTAGTGGCTTCAATTTGCTAAAAAAGGAGAATAGCTCTGGGCCCTTAGGAAATACTATACCCAGGAGTCATAGCGATAAGCCATTTTAGTTGTAGCCTCCTTCTCTGGAACAGCATTCTTTATGAGGTCAGTGTGGCTTTAATCTATTTTCCCATTGGAAATCCATTAAGCCATTAAATTAAATCAAATCCACTTTGGGAATAACTTTGTGGTGATGGAGACTTTCCTGCTAAGTTTGGAAACTTTAGTCTATTTCTTGGAGTGTTTCTTATTTATCTTATTCTATAAGTTAATTATACTTTTGTTTAGATTAAAGCAGCATTTAGATTACAGCAAATAAATAAATAAATAAATAAATAAATAAATAAATAAATAAATATTCTTCCTATCTAATAGTTCATAGTGCTGCAAATACACATAGCTAACTTATATATCCATGGTACCTTCTGTTTCTTGAGCTCAGAAGCACAATGTTTGTCTTCCTGTCTTTATAAAACATTTTTAAAAAATCTTGTATGTTGAGGCTGACACAGTCCAGACATTTTGTTTAGTTTGCATCCAGCCTTAAACAAACTAATAGGATTTAATATAGTATTTGAATCTATTAAAAGAATAATTATATTTAGATGCAGCTCTCAATCTATTTCTGGGCATTTTATAATATAGTAAATACTAATTTTTGTCTTGTTTCTAGGTTGGGATAAACATTCATATGGTTACCATGGAGATGATGGGCACTCATTTTGTTCCTCGGGAACTGGACAGCCCTATGGTCCAACATTTACAACTGGTGATGTCATTGGTTGTTGTGTAAACCTGATCAACAATACCTGCTTCTACACAAAGAATGGGCATAGTTTAGGTATGAAAAAATGATTCTATTTTGTAAAAATATCAAATACTGGATGATAGCAAATTTGACCATCTTTCCAAATTTTACATATATGTAATTTTGATTCAGAGCTTAACTCTGACCAAAAAATAAACACTCAAAAATATATAACGGTTAAAGTTTGGCTCAAACAGGTCTTAGTTTCTCAAGCAAGGTCCTTGTTAGTACCTCTCTGCGGACTATGATCTGTTTTGGAGAAATGTAATATCCATGCTTGTCCATTTTAAAAGAATAAAACATTATTAGTTTGAACTGAAAATACAGTTTAGTAGCATGCTTGAAATGCTTCTGTTCTGTGGGAATTCCTGAAACACTAAATGAATTCTGAAAGTGTTTCTGATCTTTATCAAAGTTCAGAAAACTTCATTCATTCATTCATTTATTCATTCATTCATTCGTTCGTTCGTTCGTTCATATAGCCACCCATTTCAAACCAGTGACTCAGGGGAGCAAATAAAGACAATAAAAACACAAAAAAATGAAATACAAGCAACAGCTGATTGCTGTTATTTGTTGGTGCTATGATCTGTCAGTATCAGTGGCAATTTGATAATAGCTTTGAAATTTATATAGTTTATTTTATTGTAAATATAGCCTTTTAATGTGATTGCTTTCCAGTTACTCTGGTTATCTCAAGAATTAATGTTTGAGTAAGTTAAATATTTTTCAATACAGCTTAATTAAACAAATAAGGATGTGGAATTATACATTCAGTGAAAAAAACATGAAATGAACACATATGTGATAGTTTCCCAGTTTGGTTTCCCTTGGTTTCATGTGTAATTGTAGTAAATATTGTACAATGAATGCATTACAGTTTTAATTTTCATCTTCAACAAAAGTGAAAAACCAATAGACCTAATTTTATAGGGCAGTTTCCTAAGGTAAAATATTGTATTTGATTTGAGAATGACAGTTAAAATACATAGCATTTAGTAGAACAATTAGACTTTTCTATGAATTGTTTATATCTTAGATAATATGTTGCCATTATAACCCAGAGTTTTGAAATCAGGACAGCAAAGATGAGCTGGATTTGTATTAATTAAATAGAATTATGGTCAAGCAATATAAAACACTGAAATAGTGAGAAAATTAAACAGAAGCAATAAAACAGTTGTGTAAAACCTTTGAAATTACAAGTTCAAAACAAAACAAAAATCAGAAGACCCTCCTCATAATCAAGACACTTTACCCCTTCTTATGGAAATCAGTGCAGATAAAAACTTGATAACTATGCTATTGATGGCAGGATTGTGACCCTTTAGCAGGAAAAAAAATCCTCTCCTTCAAAACACATTTAAGTTTTTGTTGAGAGAAAGTGAAAATATTCTTGCATGTATGTTACTGTGGGAGAGACAACAAAAAATATACCGGTTGGGGTCTCGGTTTCCTTCTGGCTTTTGTTGGTGAATGAGATTCTGTTGTAACATCCATCTAATATTGTTGAAGGCAAAGTATTAAAATGAGCCAAAGTGAAGGTATTATTACCGGTAATATGCTGGCAAATAAAGTAGAATGAGTAGCTTGCAGGTGTAAAGTTTTTTCAACTAAAAACCCCACGACTGGTAATTTGGCTGTGGCATTCAGATCTGACTGTTGAGAAGGATATCAAAAAGACTTTGAGGAGTTCAGTCTTAACTTTCTAGAACTAGCATCAATAGAGAAAAGAGAAAGAGATTTCAATACACAATTTGGCTAAGATTTTTGCTTCCATGTTGATGAAAAGAAGTGGCTTTCTCCTTGCAATCCTGCCATATATACTATTGTTCAGTTTTTTCCTGATGGTGATCTCATGAAAACTGACATTCAGCAATGCAAGAGAGGCCTTTAGTTTGTTAAGTTATTACCCTGCTGTTCTTCGAGACCTGGAGAATTGCCTCCATATATAAACAATCTGCTTTCTTTGAAAATAGTTTTACAACATTTCCAGCCTGGTGAGCATTAACAACTGTTCTTCGGAGTTCCTCAGAAGTCTCCTTTGTTTGAGCCGTGACATATTTCTATATAACTGTGTTGTGAAGATCAGATTTTGAATATCCAGAACACTGTTCTTTAGACAGGACACTCCCCCCCCCCACCTGATTATCATCCCATTGATTGAAAGACCTGGCTTTAATTTTCGTTTCAAATGAGCTTATTATCCTAGAGGCACATATACAATTAGGTGGCTTTGGATAATTTCCTCAATAAAAATGAACAAGAATATTTTTCACTCATATCTTTAATTGGATTCATTGTGGAGAAGAAGTCATATTTATACAGAAATATTGAAAATCCAAAAAGATTCAAAACATTTAAGCACCACTGTATTCAGAAAGAGAAAAGAGTTGCCTATATGTATTTGTCCTTCATATTTGACTTGATAAGGTATAGTCTTTATGATAACACCAAAATAACTTGCCACATGAGAATTACATTTCTGCAGTAGTAGAAAATGTTAGCTGGACTGCTACATATAAGAGACAGTAGTGATTTTGCCACTCAATTTGGTAGCAACTCATTTATTAGTCATAATACCATGTAACATTTAAAATAATACTGTATTTGTTTAAACTTGGACAAAGTAATCATTGGCGAAACGTCCTACGTTAGGTTTATTGCAATTACTTTGAAAATTTGAATAATATATTTGGTATCATAAGTGGAATAGTTAAGGCCTGGTTATACCAGCAGGTCTGGATACGCCAGGAGATGGATGAACTCAAAGGTTGCTCCACTGTTGCTCCACTGTCTATTACTTTTCTTCTTTAGTTCTGTTTTATACAGAACTGTTATATTCTAGTTTTTAATATTCCTTAATAATTATTTTAATTGCTTTAGGTTAACAATTGTTTTATATCTGTTTTATTGTACTATTGTATGCTGCTCAGTATCACTTTCCATGAGAAAGTGGTGGCCATACAAATTTGATAAACAAACAAGCAAGGACAGAATGGTAACCCTTTGAAGTTTGGTACACAGTAGTGGAAGTATGATTCATAAGAGTTAACTAAAAAGAAGCTTTTCAGTTAGCTTTTCTTGAAGCTGAAAATAAGAATTTTACTTGGTAAATTGGTGCTTTTAAATACTTTGACAATCCTGTCCTTTCTGGCCTTGTTCATTACAAATGTAATTATGTAAATAATGGAATGCGGTTGCTATTGGATATCTTGCCTATATAAATTTATTTTCTAGCAGAAAGAAGTGAATAGCTGTTAATATTTTCTCTCGTATGGAGACATAATTTAACTACAAGACCATTGAAGCATGACTTGTGTTGACTGTGACAGCTCAGATTTTAATTAAATATTTCTTGATTACAGGTATTGCTTTTACAGACTTGCCGGTAAGATCATTGTATTAAAGTATAAAATATCTGTGCCCAAAGAGGATTTTCCTTGCTCGCGTATTATGCATTTTTCAGTTAGTTCTATTTTTTTTTAAATCATAAGAGCAAAGTGCTTTTTAAAAATATCAAAATTAATTAATAAGCATTTGTTTATAATAATGGCAGAGGATTCTAAGGAATTATGATTACTATTTGGAGTTATGTATTTCTAACTTTTGATGTTTTATCTGGAGGATTTGCAAATACAGAAATTTAAGTTTAGCAGTAGAGCACATCCTTTGCCTATATAAGGTCTTTGATTAGGTTTTTGGCATCTTCATACATATAAAAAGAAGTACTGACAAGAGGAAAATTTTGTGCTAAAATCTCTAGGCAACAATAGCTAGTTTTTATGCACAGCAATGAGGTAAAAGTACTGCACTAGCTTAATACCAATTCTGGCCTTCCCCAATCTGAGTTCCCTCAAGATGGATGGACTTCTGCTTCCAAAATGCAAAGTCCACATTTTAGAGGCCATCCAGGTTGAGAAATGATGCTATAATAACTACATCATGTTATGAGAATGTATTGATTTTCGGTTTTTTGTTCTGGTAGATTTGAAAAATGTTGTCCAACACATTAACCCCCACCCACCCAACCCCCCAAAAGCAGTAGATTATTTTAGAATGTTTGTTTTATCAACCTGTTCATTACAAACATTATTTTTTGTTTTTATAATTTTTTTATTCTTGGAGAGACAGGCCTGCTTCAGACTTTTGAAACCTAGATGTTGCTTCATTTCAGTTCATAAGATTATCAAGTCTCTATTGCCTATCCTGATTGGCAAGAACTCTGCAAGTTTCACTGAGTGAAATTTTTCCTCCTGAGGATTTCTTAAATAGTCTTGAAACTCAAACATTAACTACTTAATTTTTCTGTTGGTGGAGCATGCAGAAGTTATTAACTTAATTATATGGTTTTAATGCTAACTTCAAATTATTTGCATTTTGTACAATTAAATTTTATATTGTAATTCTCTCTTGCAGCCAAATCTATACCCCACAGTTGGACTTCAAACACCTGGAGAAGTTGTGGATGCTAATTTTGGACAACATCCATTTGTATTTGACATTGAAGACTATATGCGTGAATGGAGAACCAAAACTCAGGCTCAGATTGACAGATTCCCTATAGGAGATCGGGAAGGAGAATGGCAGACGATGATCCAAAAGTATGATTTGAAGATTATAATGAGTGTCTGTTTAAATTCCTATTCAAATTTGGGAGATTTTAAAACTGGTCCGTTTCGGTCCTGCAAATCTTGTTCTATATTTCTTGTGAATTAAGACATGCTTTCTTATTCCTGAGAGGATAATTTTATCTGATGTAGTTATCTCCATGTAACACCATGCATTTAACTCCTTTAAATAAATGTTACTCATTTTGTGTATGTGGTAGGGCTGTGCAGGACTTTGGATTTGAAGGGAAAAGGGTACGACGGAGTTTCTTAACTATTTTTAAGGGCTGCTGTGAGAACAACCATGTAATCCTGGAAAAAGACATTGTTGTTTTAAAGAGTTTTGGATAGATGGTACAGCTCACAAACACAGACATGCATATTCGCATATACTCCTTGCAAGGCACTTTTCCCATTTTCATACCTGAAGCATTGCACAACTCTCATTATCTGATTACTGTAACTTGGTGATGGCTGCATTGATTTCTGGTCCAAACTTGTTCTAGTGCATCTAATTTAAAAGGTCTATTTTATGAGAACATCTTGAATCATTTTTGTGCTTGGAAATGTTAGAATTATTGTATGCGCGCTAATTTCTAGTTTAAAAGTGATCTATAAAATGCAAATGTAGTTGGCAAAATCATTTTAGTTTAAGTACTGCTCTTTTAAGCTTTGCATGCTTCATATTAATATTTTTAATAGAGTATGCAGCACGTACCAGGAGAGGATAATTAAATACACGGTACTTCATTTAGGACTAATCACTATTTCCAACTGTACATACCTTAATTCATACCATACCATTCAATCAAGCAGAGAGCTCTGTTTGGCAATCCTGTCATTATGGATTCTTTACAATCAGGATAGGGTATTTCATGTTATTGTGAATTGTTAGCACTGACGTGGATTAAGAAGATACTGTTCTAGTAATTTGATGGGAAGATGTGTAGAATTATTTTCTCTTAATTATTCTATGAACAGTGTATACTGCAGGTTTGATTCTGCTTGATTGAGGTTGGAAAATTGTGTATATTTTTTTCAGTGAAAGCTAAATTAACACATGCCATTTACCTACTGTTGCTGCTTTTCATTCAAAGCCATTTGTAACTAATATATGTTTTTGAATCAAGAGTCATGTAGACACATTTGGATAAATGGATAAATGATGGATAGAGAATACAGATAATATTTCCTCTTTAATATCCAAAACTACTTTGTCTAGGACAAAGAATACTCTTTGCATGCACATTATTACATGTGTTACACATCACTATGTTACTGTTTCTACCACATCTCTCACCGTACTAAACGATTTCTCCATTGTGTGTAATTCCATTTTATAGTCTTTGTTATCTTTGGCACTCTTGAATGTTCTGTTTAAACGTTTAGGTTTCAACTGGTAACTAACTTGAATGTACATATGTATTTAAATATACATATGTATCCAATATTAAATTGAGAAAAGTTAAATATATATAACTTGTAAATACATATCATTATATTCTTATTTATGTCATTATATTTTATAATATTTTTATTTTTAACTGTATATTAGAATAAATGTAGCATTTTATTCAAAGTAAATTTACATAACCTACTAAAAAAAGTTTGTATTGAAGTGAATCTTCAAGGAAAAGAAATACTTGTAAATAAATTGCCTAATCAGCAGGATTAAATGGTAAAGCTGCCTCCATGCTATATTTTGTATTAACTTTCTTTTACAGGATGGTTTCATCTTATTTGGTACACCATGGATACTGTGCAACAGCAGAGGCTTTTGCTAGATCTACTGACCAGACTGTACTAGAAGAATTAGCTTCCATTAAAAATAGACAAAGTAAGCTTGAATAGTACTGTGATGTCTAAAAGAATTTAAATATTGAGATATAGAAATGCTTCTTCTTAAGTGGCCTTTGGATTTCAGATATTATATTTCATTGATCACGGTTTTAAATATCTGAATAATCAGTAGAAGCATGATTTTCTTTTGTCAGAAATTGATTATGCACAAAAAATTGATAGGATTGTTACCTAATAAAAATAATGGTTATTTACTTAATTTTATTTTTTTACATTAATATTATGTGTTTATAAAAACAGCTGAATAAACAAACTGATTAAAAAAAGCAATATGTAGAAATTTATTTAGTACACTTCTAATGAAGTAATGCTTACATGCTTTATTATTAGTTAATATCAATTTGCAGTTTAAAACTATATACATCATCAAGACATTAATAGATATATAGCTTATAATTATGATCAAAGCTATCTGGAATATTTTATATATTTTTGATAACACTGTATTAGAACTAAAGCAGATTTAAAAAAATTGTCTGAATTCTTTTAGTTTAATTATTAACTTTAGATCCTAGTCATTTGATCAAAGTTAAATGTAATTCATCAACTTTAGTAAAACATGATGAGAAAGAGATTTGTGGGATCCAAGGAAAACATCAATATTGTCATAGCAAAGAAAGAAATACAGACTCTTATCAAGACTGGAGAGGGGAGATCCAGAAGTATTCAATTGTTGTTTACACTGCTTGTGAAATATACATTTTTAAACCTGTACTTTTGTTTCTGCCAATAGGAATTCAGAAACTGGTTCTAGCAGGAAGAATGGGAGAGGCCATTGAAACAACACAGCAGTTGTATCCAAGTCTGTTAGAAAGAAATCCTAATCTTTTATTTGCTTTGAAGTGAGTTTTTATGTAAGGCAGATACTTGTAAATAAATAGTCTGGGGGAGTTTCTGTGTGTCCATTTTATGGTTTTCAAGCTCCTATAGCATCAAATTACTTTACTAATCATCTGGGAATTTATGTAGTTATGTTCACCGAATGAATAACAAAATAATGGCTCCAAACTTTGCCTAAATTTTTAATCTTAAAATTAAAAATTAGGAGAATTAAAAGCAAGATTAAAAAAATTAAAAAGTAGGTTAAAATTTAAACAAAACATTTCTGATTACGTTGATTCTATAATAGATCATTAGATGAAGATAGAACCTCTTTACACTCAGTATTTGTGAAGTGTGCCAATAACCATTCATTTATTTGAGTCTTGATTTCTATATGTATATTGCCCATAGATCATATCAGTGCTGCAATTCATTATTTTGCCTACAGAGTTGTGTCCCACCATTTCAAGGCTTATTTGTTGACAAAATGTTTTTTTAATCCCCAGAAGTGAAAGGGTAAGCCTAGAATCTCCTTCTAATAGTTACTCCCCCAAGAAGCAAAATTGATTTGATTGCATGGAACATATTTCTGGATATGCATGTTGTCATTGCTTAATTCTCTAATGTACAGATTTCTATGGGAAAGGAAGAAGACTTCTTCCTTTATTATTTCATTATTTTAATAGATCAATTTAGACACCTAATTAAATATATGCATAATTGGCTATCATTTATATAACATAGCAGTAAGCCCCCATTGTAGAAATCTTTAGTGCGAATATTACAAACTTGGTTTTTAAAATTATTGTTTGATCTTCATAAATATCTTCTCTTCATGTTTTCCAGGGTACGTCAATTTATAGAAATGGTCAATGGTACAGACAGCGAAGTACGGTGTCTAGGAGGTCACAGTCCAAAATCACAAGATAGCTATCCTGTTAGTCCACGATCATTTAGTAGTCCTAGTATGAGCCCCAGCCATGGAATGAATATCCATAGTCTATCAACAACGGGCAAAGGAAGTAGCACGCACTGTTCTGGTGAGTTTGAAGAAGGCGATACGTCGTTTTCTTATCTTCTTCAGAGTTTGTCACTTAGTACGTGGAATAATTTGTGTTGTGCATCCTGGCCTGGAATGTCAAATAGGAGAAACTGACCCTTTTTTGCCAGTATCTCCTTCAAGGGTTACAAGCTGTTTTATAATACTTTGTTCCCACTGCAGGCTGCACTTCTATGAACAGGTTCCATAATATGATCTAGTTTAAACTAGAGGAGTTCTTGCTTTGTGTGATGTCATTTGTTTTCAATAATATTTCATTTAATAAAAATTAATTGGTATTCTGAAAATTTGGGGGGGGGGGGAAAGAAATAGGGCAGGAGGAAAAAGAGAAAGAATACATACTCAACACACCTCAAACTTCTAGAGGTGTTA